TAGTATTTTATTGATGCTAGTTTCCTGATTTTGATACCTGCACTCGGCTTAAGTTAGATGTTAACATTAGGGGAAGGTGGGTGAAGGATATACTTTTATAACTTTTTTGTAAGTCTAAATTATTTCAAAATAAAAAAAGTTAATATTTTTATAAGGTCAATAATCTATCTGGGTAACAAATTTCTTTGCAGGGGAAGGGTTGATTAAGAAAACATGGTGTGACTTTAAGTAAATAGAAGACTGTTTTCTTTTAAAGTTCATAAATGCCTTCTAAAGGCAATTCAAAAGGACAAGTTCTAAAAATACTTTTTTTGCAGTGACAGCATTGTTGGATTAGTGTAGAGTGGCTATGTGGAAGAATAGCACTCATTTAAACAGTGTACCTGAAGGTATATTTATTTTAAAAAATCACTCTTCATTACCTTATGGTCACACCTCAGAGTGTTAAAGCAGTTTCTGTGCACTCAGTAAGCAAACGAGAAGTTAATTGAATGCAATAATTTACCATGTTTCCTGCTTTCTAATGCAAGAGTCTGGGTGATTTTTTAATCTCTTCTGTTATGGAAGATTTTCTCGTTTTACCTTTTTGAGGGAATAAGCAAACGTATTACTCTCTGTCATAAATTTGCTATTTTGGGGGGAGAAAAGGAAAGTAAAAAGAACACAGAGTGACTGAGAGAGAGCTGCCTACAGGCAGCGTGTAGTCAACAAGCTCATACCTCTGTTGGTCTCACAGTGTATTCTACCAAGATCAATACTAAGCATCCACTGGACATATTCACCAATCTGCTGAGCATCACAGCTACAACATTTTATTGAGAATGTTTAATCCAGAATCTTATCCATCAGATAATAACCTCAGATATCCTTTTACTGGGATTTGCATTGGAAGGCCTTTGTACTACATAACGAAAAAGTAAAAGAAAATATATAAAATAATGTAAATATAGATAAACAATTACCCAAATAGGCGCTATGCCCAAGTCTAAACAAAATGGAAGCACACAGATTTCGGAAGATGGTGGCATAGGTAAACGCCTGTACTTGCCGCCTCCCGTGACCACAACAAATTTTTAACTAAAAAACAGAACAATCATCATCCAGAACCGCTGGAAAGCTGGCTGAATGGAAGACCTACAACTACAGAAGTAAAGAAGAAAGCACACTGAGACCAGTAGGAGGTGTGGAGGCACAGAACTGGCTGGTCTGGCACCCGCTTTTTTAATCAGGAGGGAGATCATCTCTGCAGAGGCCGCCTGGAGGAGCAAGGGGTCCAAGTCCCACACCAGACCCCCAGTCCAGGGTCCCAGAGCTGAGAAAAGAAGTCCCTTCAGGGCAGTAAGAACAAAAGGCTATAAAAACCAGTGCAGATTGGGGCTTAGTTATACAGAGGCTGCTGGAGACCAAGGTGTTCCTTTAAAAGGCCGGCACCATGAACTATAGTTACCGGGTCCTGCTTCCTCTGAGCTTCAGCACCAGGGCGAGGCTCTGGGGAACACAGACACATATGAGGAGGAACTGGATTGTCTGGCATCAGGGCAGGAACTCGGGGGTGGCTTTCTCCTAGACCAACATGCTTACAGAGATCATTGTTCCTAGGCTGGGACCTCCTGGGTCTCAGGGCTGACTGGCAGCCATTTTTGTTTGCTCCACCCTGGTGATTCCCTAAGGCCCCGCCTCCTCCAATTTACAACCCCACCCAACCTGTGTGTAGTGGCTTTTGCATATGAATGCCTTTTCCTTAATCAGGCTAAAATCTCTTAAACAAGCTGCAACTGGGTGAGGGAGCCCCAAACCTATCAGTAAAAGGCTCAAGACCCAGTACCAGCACCAGCTTGCCTTGCTTCACAGCTGGGCCTCATCTGGGCACTTCCAAACCTGATACAAAGAGGAAGAATCTCCAGATCTCTCTGTAGCTCCTGCTGGGTGGCCTCAGGCAGTGGCTGACTTTTCACCTCCCTGGAAAACCAAGGGCCAGTGTACCCAGTGGTCAGTGTCAGACTATACCAGATTACAACTCTACACATCGATAAGTGACACACTCAAGGGGCAGACTCAGTGAGCATGAAAGCCCCAATGAAGCAAGTCCTGCTCCATAGGGTTGTCTCCTGAACAGCAGCTTTCCCAATGTAGTCACAGCTGGTCCTCACAGCCAACTTGCCTGGAGGTCAGTTCCTCCCAGTGACACCAACAACAATCAAGTCTCAACTACAAGACTGTGCTCACAGCCCACAAAGGGGTGCACCTAGAGCATATGGGCCCTATAGGACATATACTACACAAGGCCACTCTACCAACTCAAGGAGACATACCAGCTCTACCCAATTCATAGAAACAAACACAGGGAAGCAGCCAAAATGCAGAGACATGGAGGCATGTCGCAAATAAAAGAAATGGGAGAGAGCAGGGGCTGTGTTTTATCACCAGCTCCTCTTCCATCGCCGTGGCGATATTTTATCAGCCTTTGAAATGTGGGCCCCGTGATGGATATGCGAGTGACTCCTAACTGCAGCCCTGCAAGCTCAGCCCTGCAATCATGTGGTTATGAAATAGTACCCAGCCTGAAGCCAGAAGGGAAAACGCACCCTTTGCTCTAACCTACTCACAGCACTCGGTCAGAGAGCCGAACCTGAACCTTCGAGGGGGCGTGGAAAGACCGGAGAGCCGAATGCAAATGAGAATTCCATGTGGTGGGTTCTCCTCTGAGAGTTTTTTTTCTCCTTCTTCTTTTTCCTCTCGACTGCTCGCCCCAGACCACGCCACCTGTTTTTTTCTCCAAATGTTTCCACGGCCGAAGGTCTCTGCCTCGGAGATTTGAGGCACTTGCTTGCTGTTGACCCACATGTGGTCCCGCAGGGAAGGGGAAAGGATGGAGGGAGAGGGATGGGCAGAGGGACCTTCTGGGCTTTTGGTTAACAACAGCTGGGCCCGCCCCGCAAAGCTCTCATGTAGAATCAAGGGTCAGATAAAGAGCTTCACAGACAAGGAAAAGCTCAAGGAGTTCACCACCACCAAACCAGGGTTACATGAAATGCTGAAGGGTATTCTTTAAGAGGAAGAAGAAGCGATAAAAACATATGAACAATAAAATGGCAACAGATGCATATCTAACAACAATCGAGTCTAAAAATCAAAATAAACGAACAAGACATCTAAGGAACAAAACAAACTGGTGAATAAAACAGAATCAGAGGCATGGGGCAGACTGACGAATCTCAGAGGGAAGATCTTAGCTGTGGACACAGTCAGTAGGTGGTGAAGGCCTGGGGTGGGGCGGGAACCGGGTGGAGGGGGGCAATGAGGGGGAAAAAAGAGGGACTTCTGTAATAATCTCAACAATAAAGATTACACACACACACACATACACCAAAAACGGAAGTACTTTATTTCTTTATTTCCCTAATGAAGCAACATGGCATACAATATAGGACCACGCCTTAGAATCAATGTCTTAATTTATTTTCCTTTCAGCCACTTAATTTGCCTATATTTTGCCCGTCTTGCTTATAAAACAGATGTAATAACATTGTTACCTTCCAGGGGACTTATGTAAATTAATGAATATGGCTATAAAACATTTTGCACACATGAAGTGTTACATAAATACTTACTAATTCCTTGAATGTGCTCATTATATTGCCTACTTTGAACCTTAATATTTGCTTATAACTCTACACTTCAGATTTCCCCAAGGAAGAAATTCCAACTTTACTTGCCTGTGGTTTTATAGACACTTCTTTATATAAGCAAATTCCAATTCAACAGGACGCAGAACCAGGAACAAACACAACTAACCGAAAACCAAGCGGTATTCACAAATGCTTGCAGCCTGTGCATGTTCTAAATGCACCTTAGTAACAGTTAAGCACATTCACTCAGCATTTCTAGTTAGGGTCTGTACCAGCCATGAATGACTTACAGAGTTAGGTACAAAAAAATTAGAGGCTCACAATATAATCTCATGACTCTCAAATTCTCTGCTTAAATAGACCAGTCATTTGTTATGCATTGCAAAATTTTTATTCCAGCTCTCATTACAGTATCATTTATAATAGGTACAACATTGATTAATCTGAGTTACAAATAATATCTTTCCTCCGAGAAAACTAAAAGCAGCTAATGCAATTTCTGGTGAGATTTAATAAAATCAGTAAACCAACTGAGTATATTTTAAACGTGAGTGTGCTATTCTACCCACAAGAATCTATAAAAGATTTTCCAGGCAAAAATCTTATGACAGTGCAAAGAAATTTAAGACAGCCAATCTTAAAAGCATATCCTTGTAATTTAGGGGAAATAGTGCCTCATTAATTATATAAGGTAAATATTCTTTCTATGTAGTGAGTTTATTGAATTTGTAAAGAAGAAAGCAATAATGACATGCCACTAAACAAGCACTATATTCTTCATACCATTTCACTGCAGTCTCACTTCCTGAGTGTTAATTGCATTGGCTTCAAACGCATCTGGCAGGTATTGCCTTGAGTAACCAAAGAGACCATCTCCTGGCGATGGGGAGCCCGGGGAGCTGCCACCACTGTTCCCTCTGAATACAGCTCAACAGAACCAGCTGGGACACAGCTGCAGCCCAGCTGTCAGCTTTGATTTCCTATGGCTGCACTAAAACCAATCACTCCAGCTTGATCACGTGATAATGAAATCTGAATGACTATGGCTAAGACTCACAACAATAAAAATTTTCAATTCACCAAGAATTCAGAAAGACTATCTGCATAAAGAATTATGTTTGTGGCTGTGTCATCACATATCCTTATGTACATTTTGTCACCTCATTTGAGGTCAGATAGACAAAGGGGCTGATTATATTTTTGTAAAGGGAATAAATATATTGTCCAGATAAAGAAGAAAAATATATTATTAAGGCCTTTTATTGACATAAATGCCATTAAGAGCAAGTAATCATATCAACACTCAGAAAAATACTTTCTCGCCAGAACTCACCAGACCATAAGCTCCCAAGAGCAGGGAACGCAGCTTACCCATTTTCCTGACATCAGTCCTTCCACAGTGCCTAGCATACAAACAGGGACTCAATAAATGCTTTCTGAATGAATGAGAAAAGTTATACAATAGTTAAGTCTCAAACTAGGTGACTCTGGGACAAGTCTGATGATATGAAACTTCATGTGCTGCAGAAACAGTAAGTAGAATATTCCTAATTTACAGACTGTCTCTTCCAACCATCCTCTCACAGAATGCGCGCTCGAGAACTTCCTAATTATTCAGAGGAATATTTTTAGTATCTACACTGGATCGTAACCAGAAGGAAAAGGAAGTGAACATCATTTTAATGATGGGGAACCTTGCGGATGCCTCTGAACGGGCGTTGGCCCGTTTACTTTGTGGAATGTAGGAGCTGTGATCAGTGGGAGTCTATTCATATACAGCAGGTCCTGGAACGTTTAGTTCAACGTCTCCTGGAGACCTGGTCCAAGTGCCCCAGGAGCGGTGACCCGATATACACTGTGCTAAGGGAGGACTGTTGATGGTCACACTATGATGGCGTGATTCCTTAATCTCAGCCAAGGAAGAAGCTGTATTTTGAATGAGAAGAAATAAAGAAGATACTGAGGGGATAAGCAAGCGAGATCTCGAAGGAAGGCAGTTGAGATTGGGCCTCAATGAATTATGGAAGACCATTGTTAAAAAGGGTCAAAATGTAAATACTGAATGTAAGCAGGGCCTCCAGAGACTAAGGCTGTGTGAGTGCACTGTTATACGAGGATTCCTAACTCTGAATGCTAACTGAATTTCCTGTATGAGGTTATGCTGTGCATAGGTTATGCTTCAATAGTAAACCCTTTTGGGGTTTTAAAAAAATTCCTTTAGCCCTGGCTGGTTTTCTCAATGGTTAGAGCGTCAGCCCACAGATCAAAGGGTCCCAGATCTAATTCCCGGTCAAGGACAGGTACCTGGGTTTCAGGTTCAATCCCCAGCCCTGGTCGGGAGGCAACCAATTGATGTGTCTCCAATTGATGTGTCTCTCACATCGATGTCTCTCTCTCTCTCTCTCTCTCTCTCTCTTTCTCTCTCTCCCCCCCCCAACTCCTCCCTCCCTTCCACTCTCTCTAAAAATTCAATGGAAAAAATATCCTCAGGTGAGGATTAACAAAACAAAACAACAACAAAATTCCTTTAAAGGCAGTTCCATGTGTAACACTGTACGGCTGAAATCCTACTATGAGCTACCATCTAGCAGGAAGGTGGGAAGGTCAGCATAGCAGAGCTTTAGGGTAAGATATAAGAGCACATGCCCAAACAATGAGCAATGAGGTCCTGTGGGGTGGGGAGGAGCATCACACGGTAACACACCTTGAGTGCCTGGAAAGTACAAGCAGTCACAAATCAAGGCTTAACATTGTGATCCGTATCACTACAGGTGACCATCTGCTTTGAGTCTGTTTTGAGGTGCAACTGCTCCCCTCTTGCTGGTAGCCATTTCAGGGGAACCTGGTGGCACCTCTGGCAACCTTTAGTATTTTGACAGGAACAAAAAGGTCTGGGTAAAGGAAGTGGTTTGGTTTGCAATTAAGCCAAAACCAAAGTACTTAAAAAAGGCATTGTGGTGGGATTGTGCTGTGTTTACCTCTAAGAAAAGAAAGAACTGCCACACATTTGATATATGCAAAGAGGCCTTGAAAGCAGACACCCACTCGCCAAGAGCAAATAATAATTTCAGGTAGATGAACTGAAGAGACAGGCAACAGCACAACCGCAGGAGAGCTTTGGTGCATGTAAATTTGCTTGCTTTTTAAGCCACTGATATCCTGTTTCTGAAAATGTGTTCCCAGCCTCTATTCTCCTCTAATAGAACCCAATCAGTTTCTGACGGCTCTTTCCCAAACAGCTGTCTTTCATTTAATTTCATTTAGTGTGCAAACCGTTTCATGTTGCACGCACAAGCACACTGTGAAGAATTCATTTTCTCTAGTTTCCTGGCGACGATAAAAGAATTTAATAATGAAAAAAAAGTTGAACTTTGGCCTGAGATGTTGCCGTCCTGCTGGAACGGTGAATTATACGAGTGGAAGTGATCCAAAGGTTATTTGGTCCACCCCCTGCCATGCAAAAAGAGCCTAAACAGACCCTTTCATGTAATGATCTGACTTGTCCTTTTAAAATCTTGTAAGAAAAATTCTACATTCTCACTAAATAAATTTGGTCCAGACCTTGATAATTTGAAAAATGAACTTCCCTGGGGATAAATGCAGGGGTGGGGGAAGGAGATAGAACTCACGAATTGGAACAAGTCAGAACATAGAATTAAAAACATGTATGATCCTAGTATGTACATAGAGGAGAGTATCAGGAAAGACTTTTGTAAAGGAGGCTATATTCTTGAAGGAGTTTAAAAGCCATGGATTCAAATTCTACCAATGCTATTCTAAGATATATTTTTCTTATCTCCAAAATGGGTATTAACATTTATTGAGCTCTTACTATATTTCAGGCACTATTCTAAGTGTTTTACATGTATTAACTTAGAGAAATGCTTATATTATAGAGCTGTATAGATAAATAAAAGATTGTACCTAACAGGCAACAGCACAATCCTTATCTATAATAATAAAAGGGTTATATGCTAATTAGACTGGATGTCATTCCGAACGTCCTTCCTGATAAAGTCGGTGCCGGAGGGAAGCCAGCCCACGTCCCGGGTGCCTGCAGGCAGCCCGAGGAAAGCCAGCTCGGGTCCTGGGTGCCTGCAGGCAGCAGAGGAGGAAAGCAACCCGTGTCCCAGGTGCCAGAGGGAAGCCAGTGCCAGCAGCCAGGGGAAGGAATGCCTACTCTTGCATGAATTTTCATGCTTTGGACCTCTAGTCCTATGTAATAAAAGAGTAATATGCAAATCGACCGAATAGTAGAACGACCACCAGGGGCAGTCGTTCAACGTAGGAGCTGCCCCCAGCCCGCAGGCCCCAATTGCCTGCCAGCTAACCTCTCAGTTCCTTCCCCCAGCCGGCAGGCTCTGATCTCCTGATGGCGAACAGGGAACCGGGGTGAGTGGCAGCAGATGCAGGCAGTACCAGGCCAAGGCCCCCATCCCACCAGTCGCCCCACACACAGAGGGCAACTGGCGGCAGGGGGAGGAGCCGGCTGGCAGCCGGGAAAGATGGCCCTGATTGTAGGCCAGGCGTAGGGACCGTACCTGTGCACAAATTTTGTGCGCCGGGCCTCTAGTGTTCAATAAATGGTAATAATTATTATTCCTACTTTTGCTCATGAAAACCTTACTTGACTATCAATAAGACTTTGGCACCCAAAGACCTAAAAACAGGAAACTAAAATCAGTTATGCTGCTTTGTTTCCTTCCCACTTCCTTTCCATCTAACGTAGGAAACGATCTTGAGGTAAACATGAAAAAGGAGGAAATTCCATTTTGTACTTTCACCTAAGTAAGGTGGTAAGAAGAGAGGACTGTGGAATAGTGTGTATACCTTCTGACTTCTTTCAGCACAGTTAAGAATCTCCTCATCCTCCACTTCTTTTTTCAAGCCCCTGATGCTCGTACCTCTCTCAGTTTCTAAAGTGGTTCTCCTCAACCTTCTGGTCCTTTAAATACAGTTCCTCATGTTGTGACCCAACCATAAAATTTCTCAACCTTCTGGCTCTTTAAATACAGTTCCTCATGTTGTGACCCAACCATAAAATTATTTTCGTTGCTACTTCATAACTGTAATGTTGCTACTGTTATGAATCGTAATGTAAATATCTGATATGCAGGATAGTCTTAGGCGACCTCTATAAAAGGGTCGTTCGACCGCCAAAGTGGTCGTGACCCACAGGTTGAGAACCGCTGTTCTAACCCATCTCAAATGCCAAAGGGTGCCTCAAAGAACAGGCCAGCTGTCCCTTGTACACCCCTCTGCCCTTAAACTTCCACCTTCCACAGAAGACACACTAAACTTACTTCTTCCATTTCTTAGTAGCTCCTGAACGTAACAGTCCTTGGGAACAGCAGGCATCTAGTTATGAACTTCAGCAAAATCTGGTGTTAAAGACTCTCATACTTCAGGCTCAGCATCTCTCCAGGTTATAAAACCAGACTTCTATGTATAGTTTAAACACAACGTGAACCCAAGGGTGAATGCAAAGCTGCTTGTCCAAAGGATTTTTCCCTATTTTGGGAAGAAATATTGAGTGTAAAGTAGAAAAGAATGAGTTGCTTCAGGTTGAATATGTACAACATCTATCTCAGATAATAGGGAAAAATTAATGAGAAAACAAAATTAAACTTCCAAAGGAAATTAATTTTAAAAAATTTAAAGCACAGCCCTAGCTGGTTTGACTCAGTGGATAGAGCGTTGGCCTGAGGACTGAAAAGTCCTGGGTTTGATTCCAGTCAAGGGCACATACCTTGGTTGCAGGCTCCTCCCCGGCCTGGGCCCTGGTCTGGGCTTGTGCAGGAGGCAACCAATCAATGTGTTTTTCTCACATTGATGTTTCTCTCTGTCTTTTCCTCTCTCTTTCACTCTCCCTAAAAATCAATGGAAAAATTTCCTCAGATGAGGATTAACAACACAACAAAAATTTAGAGCACAATTTTCCTGATAGTGGAAACTGGTAAACTTTGGAATGAGTTATCTAAGAGGTTTTTAAAATTACTTAAGACTGTTCATTTCCTAGGATGATTTTAGCTAAAGCATTCTGTTAGGAAGAAGAGGGTGAATGATAGCTCAAGATCCCATTCAATTCCAGGATGGTGTAATAATTAAAAAGTGTTTCTAGCATGAAACCTCTTCGTTTAGAAACTCAGGTGAACAAACAGCCACCTAGAAAAGTTGAGTAATCTATGCTAGTTTAAGTAACATGGATCACATACCAATCTAGGTTCAAAACTGCTTTGAAGAATAGAAAATAAACATTTTTTAAAATATGCCAACTGCCCATGGGGCCACTGAAAGCAACAACTATAGGGTCAGTCAGGGATTGGGGAGGTAAATTTGGAGGTTGCTATCACTTGAATTGGGCAGAAAGAATCGATTACAATGAACAATCCAAATGTGATGGAAATGACACTGCTTTAGAGAATCCTCTCCAAATATATCAAGGACTTGCCAGGAAATGGCAACAGGGATACTTGGCATTCAATTTGACAAGAGGCTAACACAGGGGTGGGCAAACTTTTTGACTCGAGGGCCACAATGGGTTCTTAAACTGGACCGGAGGGCCGGAACAAAAGCATGGATGGAGTGTTTGTGTGAACTAATATAAATTCAAAGTAAACATCATTACATAAAAGGGTACGGTCTTTTTTTTTTTTTTAGTTTTTTGGTTTTTTTCATTTCAAACTACGCGGGCCGTAGTTTGCCCACGGCTGGCCATGGCCTATTTTGAAAGGGAAGACCAGAAATGAAATTGGTGATGCCAATGCCTGGTGTTGTCAAGTACTGCCACCCACTCTGTCCTGCCCAGCACATGCGGCCATCCCCAGCAAGAAGGCCTGGGCCAGATACCACATTCAGAACCATGGCTCCTTGCTGTCTACACTCCAAGCCCCAAGTAACTAGTTCCTTTATCCAGTCATCTGGGTACCAGGGAACACTGTCTAGCAATTCAGCAGAAGATCCCAGGCACACCCTGGGAAAATGCACTGGGACTTTCAATGGAAAAGAACTATCCCCCAGCAAAGATTATCTTCTCTTCCTACCAAGTTCCTTATTTCTCTCAGAAAACTCTGTTTCCTGTCACACAATACTTTGAGTTGGACACACACTTCTCAGTAGCACCATGCCAGGACATTCAAGAAATAAAACCTCCTTCAATTCCACGTTTACAAATAAAAGAGACATGTCTGAATTCACCCCATGAGCTAGGCTCACAGCCACACTATAAAAGTCATATTCAACCCGCCTGCACTTTATCAAACCATGAGCATTTTTACACTGCACCCACACCCACACCCCACTGCCAAAAACTCTTCTGGTCTGGCCAGGGAGCATTTCAAGTGTGTGACCATCAAGTGCCATGGCCACAAAAAAAGCAGTTTCTTTTTTTCTTTTTTTATGTTTTCATTTATTTTAGAAAGAGAGGAAGGGAGAGGGATAGAAACATCGATGAGAAAGAAACATCGATTGACTGCCTCCTGCACACCCACTACTGGGTTTTGAGCCCACAATCTGGACATGTGCCCTGACCGGCAATTGAACTGGTGATCTTTTGGTTCATGGGTCAATGCTCAATCACTGAGCCACACTTGCCAGACAATTAAAAAAAAAAAAAAGCAGTGTCTAAATCAAATTCATACTCTTGAAAATAAACACATTTCAAAGTGACACAGTTGAAACAATATGCCACTCTTGGTTTGAAAATTAATATAACATTAAGGTTTCTAAAAAAGGGATCAAGCCCGGCTGGTGTGGCTCAGTGGTTGAGTATTGACCCATGAATGAGAAGGTCACAGTTTAACTTCAGGTCAGGGCACATGCCCAGTTTGTGGGCTCCATCCCCAGTAGGGGGCGTGCAGGAGGCAGCTGATCAAAGATTCTCTCTCATCATTGATGTTTCTACCCATCTCTCTCTCTCTCTTCCTGTCTCTGAAAGGATCAAGAAGGAAGTATAAACAAAATGACATCATATTGTTCTTTAGCAGATTTTGCCTGTGTAATAAGGCCAGTTGGTATAAAGTAAGCCAACAGAAAAAAATAAAGATTAAAGGCCCTCGTGGATAATAAAAGTCTATTTTCCATTGTACTCAAATTGAAATAACTCAAACAGAAACAGATAATTCATTTGAATCCAAACCCCCAAAACCAAAGTAATAGCTTTTTAAAAATACATATAACTGTTTTATTGAGAAGTAATCCACATACCATAAAATTCACTTTTCAAAGTATACAATTCAGTATTTTTTCATATACTCACAGTTTTCTGACCATCACCAATACCTCAGTGCAGGACATTTTCATTACCCCCAAAAGAAACTCATTAGTAGACCCTGCCCATATTTCTCTCTAGATCCTGGCAACCACTAATCTATTTACTGTCTCTATGGATTTGCCTATTCTGGACATTTCATACAAATGGAATCATACAATATGTAGCTGTGTGTGACCAGCCCCTTTCATTTAACATAATGTTGCAGCATGTTTCGATACTGTATTCCTTTTCATTGCCTAATACTATTCCACCGTATAGATATACCACCTCATTTGTTTATGCACTCACGAGCTGACAGACATTTGGGTTGTTCCCACTTTTGGGCTATTATGAATGATTCTGTTTTGAATATTCATTTAAACTTTTTTGTGGACATGTTTTCAATTCTCTTAGGCATAGACCAAGGTGTGGAACTGCTGGGTCATAGGCTAATTCTATGTTTAACTTTTTGAGTTTTCCAAAGTGGCTGCACCATTTTACACACCCACTAGCAGTGTATGAAAATTTCCATGTTCCCACACCTCACCATCACTAATTATAGACTGTCTTTTTTATTAAAGCCATCCTAATAGTGTAAAGTGATATCATGGTTTTGATTTGTATTTCACCAATTACTAATTCTGTTGAGCATTTTTTCATCTGCTTATTGACCATCTGTATGTCTTCTTTAGAAAAATGTCTATTCAAATGTTTTATTTGTTTTTATTTGGGTTTTTTCTTTTTACTGTTGTGTTCTAAGAGTTCTTTATGTTTTCTGTATACTAGATCCTTATCAGATATAAGATTTGCAATTATTTTTTCCCATTCTGTGGGCTGTCTTTCCACTTTCTTGATAATGTACTTTGAACCACAACATTTTTCATTTTATGAAGTTCAATTTTTTTTTTTACCTAGGTTGCTTATGCTTTTGCTGTTTTACCTAAAAAAAAAAATAGTGGCTAATCTAAGATCATGAAGATTTACACCTATGTTTTCTTCTAAGAATTTTATAACTTACATTTAAGTCACTAATTCATTTGGTATGTGGTGTGAAGTAGGGGGTTCAACTTTACTCTTTTTTAATATATACATATATATATATATATATACATACACACCACACACACAACATATATATTTTTTTTTATTGATTTCAGAGATGAAGGGAGAGGGAGGGAGGGAGAGAGAGAGAGAGAGAGAGAGAGAGAGAGAGGGAGAAGAGAAACATCAATGATGAGAGAGAATCATTGATTGGCTGCTTTCTGCACACCCCACACTGGGATTGAGCCCACAACCCGGGCATGTGCCCTTGACCAGAATCAAACCCAGGACCCTACAGTCCATAGGCTGACACTCTATCCACTGAGCCAAATTGGCTACGGCTCAACTTTACTCTTTTGCATGTGACTGTCCAGTTGTCCCAGTACTATTTATTGAAGAGACTATTCTTTCCTCCACTTAATTGTCTTGGTAACCTTGTCAAAAATCAATTAGCCATAAATGAAAGTTTACTTGTAGACTCTCAATTCTAATCCATTGATCTATAATTCTAGCCTATACCAGCACCACACTATTAGGATTACTGTAGCTTTGTAGTAAGCCTTGAAATTGGAAGGTGTGAGTCCTCCAACATTGTTGTTCTTTTTAAGATTGTTTTGGCTATTCTGGGTTTCAATGAATTTTAGGGTCAGCTGCAATTTTGATAAGGATTGTGTTGAATCTATAAATCAATTTAGGAAATATTTCCACTTTAACAATATTGAGTCTTCTGATCATGAACATGAGATTTCTTTCCATTTATTTAAGCTTCTTTAATTGTTTCAACAATATTTTATAGTTTTCAGTGTATAAATCTTACAAATTTTTTTAGTTTAAATTTATTCTTAGGTGTATTTTTGTGTGTTTTTTTATGCTCAACGTATTAGGTTTTACTGTCTCTTCTAGCTTTGTTGAAGCACCAAGGTTAAAAAGGAATAATTACATTCATAGTCAAGCATGCATAGACCAACACTGATGTTTATAAACATCTTTAATGAAGAAGGAAATAGTACTGATTATCATGAGGCAATAGAATGGAGCAGAATGCAGACGAGAATCAAATGAAATGGGTTCAAACTAAAACGTGATCACTTACAGACTGCAGAATGCTGGAAAATGTTCTCTTTCTCTAGCCTCATCTGTTTCATTTAAAAATTAAGACAGAATCTACCTTGTACAATTTTTTAAATTAGAAACAATATATGAAACATAGCTTC